AGCCAGAGGCAGAAGAGATGTCTCCAGGAGAACCAGGCCATCCAGGGCCCCTAAGAGTACTGAACACACACACACACACACACACACACACACACACACCCCAGGTATTTTGTAGAGGGCACAGCAGTCGTGGCAGTAACACATTTCAACTTTTTTTCTCAAAATAAATTTTTGACTTTAATCTCAAAATTTCAACTTTATTCTTGAAATGACAAACAAAATATTTTCTTTTTCTTAAAGTGGCCCTAATACTCTGTACCTGTGAGACCAGGGAGCTGCAACTTAGAGGATCATAACAGTCATGGTTAACAGATTGACAGCTTTCAGTGTAGACTTAAATTAACAGACAATAAACCACCCGTGGTATTTAAAAGGTGGATGTTCCCCATTCCTCAGCAGACTTTACCATGACCCCTCCACAGGTCCTGTGACTGTGAAGAACAGATCCACTCCAGGGCGGGAATCCACATCAGTTCCAAGATGAATCGTCTGAAGCCAAAACACTTTTTCTTTTTTCCCTACATTGTAAAGAAGTTTATTTCTCCAGTGAAGTTGGACATTTTAAAACTCGAGTTTATTGAAATTGACTCTTTTTTTTTTTGGAGTTGGCCTCAAGTGGCAGCTCATGAAACTGCAACACTGCAAGTTACCTTTTTGTAATACCAGAGAATATCACCTTTTGGGCACGCCATCCAGCCTTATCACCTTTCTGCAGAATAGTTTCCTGCTTTAGTGCTGGTGGACAAAAGTCACTAGAACATTCAAGTATAGTATGTAAACCAAACAAAACTCCTTGCATCCATAGAAGCTGTATTTGTCTCCAATATCAGTACTTTTGTGTACACTTTTTATTATAGTCCATGTTTTCTTCTGTGATAGTGCTGTTAGGGCATTTGGAGGGGGATTGAAATGTTGGGGAGGAGTTGAGGATGTTTCAGTAGTGAATATTTTGGGGGGGCTGATGGTGGGGTGTTGAGGGTATCATCTTTCATACCCCCTCGGGGGAGACCACATGACCCAGAATAACAGGGAAAGGCAGCGAAGAAAGAGACGAAAGAGAGAGATGTTGGGCCCTGCTGCTCTGAGCTCTTCAATGAAAACCACATGTAGGACAGAGGGAGGGGGGTGAGGTGTGTGTGTGTGTGGGAGGGGGGGAGTGTAATGACTAAAAACCCAGCCTCTGAGAAAGAGAGAGAGAGATAGAGGAGGGAGTCCCTCTGAGCCTTGCTGACATTCCCAACCAGCACTGCAGGGGAGAGCACTGTGGTGAGATTTACAACAATAAGACAGTGTGTGTGTGTGTGAAGAGTCTTTAACAGTGTATCACACGCGCTCTCTCTCACTCATTCTGAGCTCTGGGCTTTGATACGGCTGCAGGACAGACAGCTGCCTTCACTGTCGATTTGGAACAAGAGGAGAAAGCTAATCTCAGCGGCCGGTGTGGTCTGTTTTATTTCTACCACAGGGAGAAAAGAAGATTTCCAAGCAGCAGAAGAAGAAAAGAAGCGAAAGCATGTCCAACGCTCTGGTGAGGAGAAACTCCAGCAAACAGGGTTTACAAAACCTGATGAGGTATGTGGTCGATCCGTTTTTCCGTTCGTGTTGCTGGTTCCTGTTTGTTTCGCAGAGAAAGAATCGGGTTAATATTTAAACACCACACAAACACACTCACATTTCACTCACTCAGTTCTTCATTCTTTTTCTGCTTCAGTCAATAAACAGGACATGTGAGGTTTTCCCCTAAAGCTCTGGAGCATGACTGAAGGGTTTCATATCAGCACATCAAGATAAAGAGTGTGTGTGTTTGTACTGTAAACATAATGGGAACAGTGGGATTACTGGGAGTGTTTTGGGTCATGCAGGGTTTTTGGGGGGATTTAGGGATTTTGAATCGCCTTACCTCCTTTCAGTGTACCTAAAAAAGAACAAAGGAATCATATTAAAATCTACTTTGTACTCTATTATTTTCTATTAAAAACACACTTAAAAGGAAATGTAAGACTGTAAAGTGTGGAGGTTTGAGGCGAGCCCCACGCCCAGGGCTTCTCTGTTTCACCAAGAAGGGAAGTGGTGTCAGTGACCAGTGTCAGAGTTGAAAGGTCACCTGAGTCAGTCTTTTGTTTTCTGGGCTCGTACGGGTGGCAGCACGTCATGTCTATTGGGAAAGATTTTGTTTTTCATCCTGTGTGAGGTTCCAGTGCGACTGTGGTTTTTAACAGAGATGATAACGCACGCTCACATGCTGAGGTACTCACGCGGTAGAGGGAGGATGTTTTATCTTTTTTATCCCTCATAGACATAAATTATTGGCTGACTTGGCTTTCAGTTTTGCCACATCTGTACAGATGAGTTTTGAAACAGACGGTTTAAATTAAATAGGAGGTAACATCCTTCAGAGCAGTTGGTGCACCACGGAAGCTGCGAGGGAAACCAAAGTAAAGACAAAACTTTACATCATCCAAAACAGTCTCTGCAGCGACTCAGGATAAAGTCAGTCATGACCCATATTAACGAGTGTTAGCTCAGTCCATAGAGGTATCCTCTCAAGCAAATTTGAGATCCAGCTCTTTCATGCCATGTTTTATATTCACATTTAGGTGGATTTGTTTTAATCTTGGTCACTTCAGCGTAACCTGTAAGTAAGTAAGTAAGTAAGTAAGTAAACTTTATTTATTAAGCGCTTTTCGCAGACAGGCAATCACAAAGCGCTGTACACAAATATTAAAATATTAAAATAAACAATAAAATCAATAGACATTATATACAATGTAAAAGCATTGTGTAAGCATGTGTGACTCTTAACTTTGAGAATGTGTCACTCTGGGATAACAGTATTGCCCAACTAATGAATTCCCAGTGGAGATTATGCATTTTGCATCTGTTTGGGTCCACTGTGATCTGGATTGGGTTTACAATCCTTGCATGTATTGATGACTGTCCTCAGGTCTCTAGTGTTTGAGCTCCATCTGTGAACGCTGGAGTTTGAGTAGGTGTTTCTGTGTTGTAAAAGTCCCAGTTGTGTTTGTTGAAGTCGTGTAAGGAAATGCATCATATGCTTGACAAATGTCTGAACTCATCTCTCTATTTGGAGACTTTCCATTGACTCAAAGTTTCTCCACAGAGAACTGATGCATGTATTTGTCATAGACTGTCCTGACATTGCTGAGTATTCACTTACGAGCGTTCGTGGTGCCTCGGCGACTCTGGAGGTGTCGTAATCAGGGGGCTCAGAGTAAACCTCTGAGTCACAGTGAGAACGGTATTCAGGCTTTGTTTATGCACAGATAACAGCTGGAGGAGGCAGTGTGTCACTCAGATTCAGTCCACTTAGCAGATGTCCTCAGTCTGGGGAGCTGACGGAAGCAATGACGTAATACCAGAAAGACTGCACAGCTCAAAATTGAAGGTGCAGTGGATTCACTTGGCATTTTTGTGTCTTTTGTTATCAAACAGGTCAGTTTCATCCAGACTGTTTAGACATTTCTTGAGTTTTTACACCAGTGTCTTCTTCCAGATACAAATGTGTTCTCCTGTTATTTGATCTATAATCATTTCAGAGATTCCCACATATGTTTTAGGAATTTATTAACATTCGAGTGACTTAAAGTGAGTCAATTTATTCATGGAAAACATTAACTGATTAGCTTAGATCAACTTAACATTCGTTGGCAACAATCTGAATCAATCTTTTGTTTTGTAGATAGGTAACACTCACAGACTGTATATAAAAGAGTCATTTTTAACTTGAGCATCATGGTCACATTAAAAATGGGATGGATGTGATGAGCAAAGTGTGCGACTGAGAAAATGAACGCACTCCACACTGATTGGCTGGTCATTGAGCTTACTCGTGATAATATATTTTTGACTGATCAGAAATTTCATAACAAATTTATTATCAAATAACTTAAATTGGAAGTATTTATTGACGACAGTACAACCAGAAGAGTCGCCCCCTCTGATCATTAAAGATAAATCAAAGTTCTTCCCTTTTAAAATCTGATAGCAACATCTTTTGTACAGTTTGTGTGTGCACCTTCAGTCAGCACAGGGGTGGAGCGCTTGTTTATGCAAACATTTTACTTTTGTGCCGTCTTAAAATTCTCTTAAACAGAAGAATCTAAAAACATGAAACTTCTGGGACAGTTTATTCAAAAATCTGGCATGCACAATTTGTAAACTGATGTTACATTGCCAAGAATGAAGCAACCAGACCTCCCTCCATCCATTTTCTTAACCTTCTGTCCAACTCAGGATTACTTGGGCATGAGCTATCTCATAACAATGAATAGTCTTTATAGTGTTTTCCATGTTTGTTATATAAAGATAAGCTTAAAACGTTTAAGTTTAAAAAAAAAAAGTCTTTGTATGCATAGAAACAAAACTGAAACTCAATCAAAAGCATGCCAGGACTACAGGCAGTGACATCACCCAGACCAATCAGAAATGCAAGCTCTGCAGAGACTTCTCCATAATGTCCCTTTTCAGTGGCTTAACACTAGATGTGTGTGATTAGAAGAACTCAAAGAAAAGGTTTAATCTTAAAAATACCTGTGTAAGCACGTAACATAGCTTAAAGGAACAACCGATCGGCGTGAGGGGAAAACATTGTCGATGCCACGCGAGCAAACCTCTGAAATATTTTAGCTTTTCTCCTCCACCTGAGCAGGATTGGTGTATCTGACAAGCTAACACTGTTTACTAGATACAAATATTATTTCACGACAGATCTCAACAGGGACACAAACACAGAATATGTCATCAGTGTGAGCTCAAATCATTGCATCGGGTCGAGGCAGGCAGTTGATCTGTTTTTAATCAGCTCTGCGTGGGAGACGAACACTGCCCTCCTCCTGCCAGCTTGGTGGGGCCTGGCTCAGCCCGCAGCAGTGATGTCACCCAGGAGGCATACCTGCCTCAAAACAGCCCGAGTGCTGCGACCTCTGACCTTCGAATCCCCCACACATGGGTGGGTTTCCTGAGTGTTTATGGTGCAGGGAGATAGAGCGAAGAATGTTTGGGGGGAGTTGGAGTGGCGTATGTTGCTGAGTGATGGGGGCCCTGAACTCTCCCTCCCTCTGCAGGTTGTCCTCATTAAAGGGATGGAGGGAAAGTAAACACAGCGGGGCTTCCTGTTTCCAGGGGTCGTATCTCTGAGAACAGATGACAGGTTTTCATCTCTCTCACTTCAGTAAACATCGAATGATAGCCTAAAAACCCAGGAACCAAAAACGTTCCTGCTATCTGCCCTCGTGTGAGGGCAACATCTGTTTTTTCAGCTTATAAACTGCACCCATTATTGTGAATTTAAATTTGTTAGGAGCCATTTGTAGCATCACCTAGGTTTTAGTTCCCTTGGACGTTCAATATATCAATGCGGTCTTTTGACGAGAACTATACCTGAAAGTAGCAGAGAGTTGTCTGTGTTAATCCAGTCACAGCCTTAAAACACCCCAAAACTTCCTTTTACATCTAAATTTAGTTGGAAAAGAAAAAAAGGTGTAAAGTACTGTTTTTAGATTATTACAGACTTGAAGTTTACATACTGAGCAATTTTCTGTTGGTCTAAAAGTTGAGTTATCAGAGCATGTGTGTCAAGGGTGTAAGTTAGAAGGGAACAGAAAGACATGTAAGATCTGGTTAAAATAATAAAATATATATTTTATTTACAGCATAAAAAAATGTATCCTGATCAGGGGAAAGAATAATTAAAAGAAAACTAAGCACAATAAAGGTCGATTCTGCAGTTTGCAAGCTCCGCTTCCGCTAAACACAGTGAAGCAGCGACAGTCAGCCATCCTAATGTACCAGGGGTGTCTTTATGCATTTTTACAACGGGACTTACCCCGCGAGGGTAATCAGGGAAAGCAGGGGGCGGAGTCTCTCCAGGAGAAGATCCAATAAATACAATAAGAACATGCAACACTAAAATACACTCAACATTAAAACATAACAAAGCATTCAACACTAGATAAGAAATCCTTCTTCCCCGGATGATGTGTATTATTTATATTATTGTCATGTATTATTGTGGGGTCTTAACCTTACAGTATAAAGCACCTTGAAGTAACTATTGTTGTGATTTGGTGCTACATGCCAGTGGATGGTGAACTTTTACACGTGGAGCCATGGGCTTCATAAAAACATCACATGTGTTAAATTTCGAGTTAAATTTCATGGAAAATGTTAGAAAAGTTCCATTTAAGGTAGACACAGAGAATAACCTTTTAATTTCTCAGGATAAATCTTGTAATTTTGAGACATGAATCACTCAAGTAATTTGAACTTTGTGAAAAGTCCACCTTTTCACATGGAAAAAGCTTTCCCAGCTTCTCTGTTCTCAGGCCACTCACCTCTCCGCCTTTGCTTTTTTGTTTTCTGCCTCTTTAATGTAAAATAAAGGTTTGGATGCAATCAGATACACAGTTTGTGTTTGTTTGTTTGGGGATAGATGGTCTTGCTGGGTTCCGGATTTGTTTGGATTCTCATGGAGCGATCGCACAAGATTCTGTTTTCCTCTTTTGCTGCGTCCCTGTGTTCTTTTAATTTTCCATTGATCCACATTTATAGAA